CCCCCCCCCCCCCCCCCAAAAAAGGTGTAACTAGACGAGTGTTGGGCAAGTTACTCAGTAAGTGTAATCAATTACTTTTTACTTAATACTCATTTAAATGATCATAATATGACTTTACTTACTTGGTATCAAAAGTAAGTAATATCACTCATTACTCATTACTGAAAAGGACACCAGTCTGCTACAATATAACCATAATACAGACATCAGCTTATAACTCAATATTCTGGTTACCAGGGTGCATCATAGCCTCTTTTCCAACTATGAGACCAGCTCAGTGACACCTGCTGATCGACACTCACCTTCACCTAACAGTTTTGCACGTTGCGGTGCTGCACATACATGAACCAAACTAGAAGGTGCACGTGGAGAAGCCCACACATTCCTCAGTGGCATTTATTATTCAAATTTCAACTGAGGGTGCGACATTTTCAACTGTACATGCTTTTGCACCCTGGGAGAGCCGGGTCTGTCCCTTCCTGTCTCTCAGAGCATGATCACACAATGCGCCCGAGGCGATATTTGCCCAAAGATGCATACCGACCTGCCGTGTGTTCACATCATCGTAACACAAGCTTACCTGGCACAAAAATGAATAACTGTGTATATATAATTACTGTTTAGGAAAATGTAATCCCTTACACCCGTTACACTGGGGAGTGTAATCATGTTCCAGTAATGCGTTACTGAGTAACACGTTTCTGCCCAACACTGATCCAGACACATTCGTACATTTGATTGCAATAGATGAATACTGACTGTGTGAGAGATTTTATGTTGATGATGCCCCTTGTTAGATTTGCACTCCTTGCTTGGTCAAATGAAGCCATTGAGGGAGATTTATTTATCCAGTTATGCTGCATTTCCTTGAGAAGGTACGTGGAGCCTGTTATGAGCACAGGCCTAAATTTAAAACTTCGATCTCCCATGTTGTGAATGTTTTGCCCCTGGCCCCGAAACTAACATCAAACACAGAAAAAAAAAAAGACTCATCTTTGTATTTACAACGGTCCCTAAAAAGGAATCGCAGCTAGATGTCACTGCAGAGCAATGTCCCCAATGAAACGAGCATACATCTATTTGTGGAACTGGTTGATTTTACATATGACAGTATCTGTTTTTCTAGCGCCTGTGAAGTTCATCGCGTGGACTGGATATGACTCAGCAGGTTCTTTGAGCTAACATGGATTGATATAAGTACACAGAGAGTCGGACATTTTATCTCTCAGAGATAAACGTCTGAAAAAACGATATGAGACAAAGTACCTTACTGCTGAATGAATGCCGATGCCATGATGCTTTTAAACACAGGACGTCTACTCAAGTCTTCCCTTTACAGCAGCTTGTTGTTTCATGAGTGTTATAGACTTTTAACTGAACACATACAGATCTGAGGGGAAAATGCCACAGTATGCGTTTAGTATGCACTGCTAGTAATGTTTCTACTCGTCCTGTGTTAATATAGTGACCCTTTTTAAAGGGTGATTCAGACAGTACGAGGCTGTTGTCCCAAAGTTGAATGTGTTGTCTCCCGAGCAGTGAGCTAGGGACATCTGGGTCCTCTGGAATAATAATAGAAACAGAAATAGTTTGCTGCAGGGTTTCGCTTGGAATTTCCTCAAGGTGGGTCTCGATGGGTGGAAAGGATTGAAATGATTTGAAGATGGGGAACGCAGTGTTGCAGAGTTTTACCCAAACCATGTAAATGTAAGCAACCAGCTGCAGCTCCAGTGTCAATTTAGAGTAATTCAATCCACAAGTTTGTCACCTTGACTGCAATCACCAACACCTTGCCTTGAGGACTGGGCTCATGTCAAAAACGAGGCCGGTGACCATTTTGGATCTTGACCCGTACATTAAGAAAGAACGTTAAGCAGTATTTCAAATAATAATTTGACTCCAGTCTGCACTGAAGAGACAAACGTGAAGCACCTAAAGTTAACTTTTTTAAAAAGCACTTTGTCCACTTGTATGCACAGTGGACTGAATCCTGATTTGGCACCTTAATCTCTTATTAAACCATAAAATGGCTCTGAGAGACCAACTCTGTTTTGTATACAAACTGCACCAGTGTTTTGCCTTTTTTTAAATCCCTGATGTGTTTTCAGGAGGACAAATCAATTTATCCACTTTTCTAATACCATGTGTTGTTTCATATTTGGATGTTTATGAGGCTCAAAAAACTACTAAAACAATCACCCACCACTTTCTTTTGCTATATTGCACAATTTGAGCACCATCTTTAAGCTTCTATCCATTAGAAAATGCACACATGTTATATTTGCCATCATGTTTTGTATTTTTGCTTTAAACCATTTGAATTGTTTCCCATCTCTCCTTCTCTGCTCCCAAATAGCCCCGTCTGATTCTTTCCCCCCTCTTGCTTAATGAATGCCTAGACCTATGATGTGCACTTCCCGAGATATGTTTCTGTAAATGTAAGCGGTGTCCTGTTGGTTCTCTGTCTCATTAAATTGTCTACAAAACAGGCAGACAGACAGGGCTGCACGAACATCTTCAAAAGACTGAAACTGCACAGCAAATTAAAACAGACGTTCTTGGAAAATTCGCTTTCTCTCGTGGAAGGAGTTGTTATGATGCGTGAAGAAACGGCGCAGCGTTCCCTCTGTGGTGGGAAAGTCTACCAAATAACGATCCTCTTTCTAACTGTTCTCCTGGCGCTTCACTGCATCAACTTGACAGGACAATAGACAGAAAACTGTCTCGACCACAGTTCTTCAGAGACTCTGATGAAGCTTTGCAGATAAACCTATGTGCCTACATGGCTTGTACACTTGTTGGAACAGAATGTCACCAATTCCTGACAGAAGATGAGAGAGAATTTGTGAACGCTCACACATACTGTTTGTGGGATTTGTAAAGGGAGGCTTGTTCAAACTTAAGTTTTGATGCATGACCGAGCTCTGCTTCCTGCTGGCGCTGAAAGATGCCTCGATACTCTGGAGTTGACTTTGGAAACATCAGTTGTAAGTCCTTAAACCGATACCTTGGTGTTTCCGAAATGTATTGTAGTATTTCCCCGAGCACTCGTCACACTACATGCCGGCACCTTTTAGCTGTCCAACAAGCATTCACCTGTGAAAGCGGTGTGTTGTCTGCTAGCCGTAGATAGCTGCGATAGCTAGTTTACAGCAACAGCAGGAGAGCTGGAACCTTGATACAGTTTGTCGTAATGTAACAAGTGCTTGTTCATGAAAAATAACAAATTCCAAATGTAAAGGTATACCTTTTGTCTAATACTGCATGCAATAACCAAGACAAACAACTGATCATTTTGTACATACAATATTTTGGGTTGGTATACTTGGCACAGTAGAAGCCTAATCTGGGATTAAGTCTTTGTGTAGCTTTAATAATACCAGTTACTTTTCGTTAGCAAGTCGACTGCAACTACGGACCTGTCTTCTTTTCTTTCTTTAAATCACGGACACGGTTTAGTTCTTTGTTATCACCACATTTGCAGTCAATGTACAGCAGCCATTCTGTGCCCTTTTGTTGAATCCTGGAGCTTCACGTGCTAATATGTAATATGTATGCTAATTTGTACACATGATTCAAACTGGCTGTCTGCCATTAGCGTGTTTTAATCCACAGGTTAGGCTTAATCCTGCCCCTGGGTATCCAGCCCACAGTCTTTTACAGTGTGCTCTGTCTTTCCTATCGTCGGTCTGTTTTGAATGGTTTTTATATGTTTCTATCTATGAAAACTGTGTCTGTACAACTCTCTCCAGACATCGGTGGACCGCTTGTTAACGAGATAGACTCATTCAATATGTACAATAGAGTAGTGCTTTTTTAAACTAGAATCAGTTTTAGTGTTCAGACTGTATTGTTCACGTGGCTTTTTGGTACTTTGGTTGCGAAAGTATAGAATCAGAACTCAACAGAAAAGACATGTTCATAGATGAAGGAATTGCTCTAACCGATGTCCTGGTAGCACTGGGGGAATGTTTTTTTGCTTGTTAATGTCTCCAAATTTGAGGCTCGAGAACTAAGCTGTTTTATACAGATACATTAAATGTAAAATTATTTAATATCTCAGAAGCAGTTTGCTCGACATGACTCCTCATGTCTACTCAGACTCATGCACTATATAAAAGCAGGACTTGGTCATTTAGAAGTTTGGGAGAATCTAATAAAAGATACGAATCTGTTACATTATAGGAAACGTAAGATCTCATGTTCTTCTCTGGATATTTCCACCTCTGCTGCTCACATTTTGACCATTCCGTTTTAATCTGTCTCTCATGAGTCCCCCAACGTTATGGCATGGCCTTACTAAATCCCTTTAAATATGTTCTGTTCATTAGACAGGAGGTAGAAACAGAACCAGCCTGGTTCTGCTGCAATGTAAATATCTAATAAACCTTCTGTTTTAAATATGAATCGTGCAGTTAAATAGATTTTTCCCAGGTCGCTGAGGTGACATGTCTGCTCCTTGAGTTGTGATTTTAAATCCAACAGTCATCATGTATCCCAGTTAACGTTGTGCAGTAAAGCTAAGAGCTACCATTGTGATCTGAGTAGTTTACCTGATGTCCTATTGTGCACATGTCACATCTGTAACCTTTGCTGTACTTCTGCTACCGTCCTCACTTGTTTTCTCTATTTAGACAGGTAGTTGGTTGGACGTTTCTTACAGCAATCACAGAGTCAAATGTTTTCACTGTAGAGCAGCCAGCTTTTTGGCAAAAAAGAAAGAAAAAAAACACCATGTCAGAATTGTAATGTGCTGATGGTTTTCTTTTTTTTTTCATTTACAGTGAATTTTTCACCTTTTCGCCGTTTTTTCTGACCTATTTTTTATCTGTTGACAGTTTTTACCCCAAGTAATTGCTTCTCAAGGGCGTGCTTTGCTTTGAACATGTTTCACTTTGTTCCCGCTTCAATACAACTCTTACTTCTATGTATGTTTTACTGAATGGTGACAGTGGTCTCCCAGCTCCTGTATTACGTTGCAGTTGGTTCCGTAGACACAGATGCTATAGGAAGAATACAATGATCTAACTGTATACTCTTAATAAATGTTGGAATGGAATGTGAAAATGACTTACTCGAGATTGCAGGCAAAGATCTTTTTGTTAGTGACGACCTAAAACAGTTCACATTGGTGATATTCTGTGTCTACAGAACTGACACTTCCATCTACACTAAGTTATTCCTACACTCTGTCTGTACATCTGAAATGTGTTAAGAACTGAGAGTATAAACTTTGATTAAACATGGTATGTACTGTATGTGCGATCGCCTCTGCAGGCTTGCTTTAGAAAACTAACTTTTCCTTTCGTGGTCCCTCAATCATCAGCTTGTGGCTACCAGCTGTGGAGGCAGACCATTTGTACAATGTTAATTTAAAATCCCAGCTTTTATTGAGGCTTTGCTTTGGTTTCTCGCTTGATTTAGATAGGATTTATATTTTATACTTGTTTGAGGACAAAACCCAATAAATTTTGATCAAAAGATTTGTGCAGTTGTGAGCAACATGTTGCTTGTTTTGCTTTGAATAAATGTGAACTGAAGCAGTCTGGACTAAATACAGAAGCATAGAGGAACATACTGGATCACATTCAAACTATGACTCAACAAGCCAGTCAATCAATGGAGCTAACTTCTTTTGAGGAGGTCATCGTCACTGTTGATGGTATTAACAGTGTGCTTTACTAACTAAACCATCAGTGACGCAGTGTCATTTGTTGAAAATACATAGTTGTTGGTATTCTTATTTTCTTAGAGTCCATCAAAAGGCCATATTTTGTAACTGATAATCAACTGTATTTTGCAGCAGACCTACAATAACAGTACTTCACACAGACGCAGGTGGAATAGATTTGTATATATTTGCGTTTAACATAACCATGTTTCTGTTGAAGCAAAGATCAAGGAAATGCTGTGGTATTTGCATGTGTTGGAACACTCATGCATTGACCGTAGGTGGACCAGAGAGAGCATTGCAGTCCTAATGTGTTGACAGATGTGGATATGGATTTGGAGGTGCTTTGGCTATGCAAATAACAGCTGGACTCCGAGTGACAACCAGGAGAGATGACGTTGCACGGGGTTACTGTATTTCTATAAAGGCAGCAGTCAGAAAGAGAGATAAGTGCAAATATAGCTGTGGCTGGAAGAAGGCATCATTTGGAAATCATCAACCTCTTATCCTCAACAGGTCACCAGACTATCGCAGGGCAAAATACAGACAAGGTAAGGGAATTTACTACATCCTAAATTGTCTATTTTTTTAAATTTTTATAATCTTAGAGTGTCCTTACAACGTATTTTCTTCCTCTTAGATGTATGTAAATACATTTGTGCAATTTAAAAGAAATTGAAAGCTTTATTCCTGATCTCATTTGTGGTCACTTGTATAGAACATTTAACTTGTCCCGAGTCAACTGATGTATATTTCCTCCTTCAAAGTGAAGATGCTGTGGAGTCTAACATTAATCTCTTTGATTGGTAAGTAGCTCACTATATGTGCATGCATATCAGTGGATTTTCAAATGATTGACACAGAATGAGTCAAAAAAATGTCAATCAATGATAAACTGTAAATTTACTGCAAATTGCTCAAAACTCCCAAATGAAGCGCACGTAATTTCATCTTTTAGACGTGGGATTTGACTCTATTGATGTATGGGTATTCTGTGCTTACTGCTGTATTACCAACCACTGATATCATAATTTCTAGTAACATGAAATAAAAATGGAAATGGGAGCAGCAATTCTTATATAATCCTCTGTTGTTTTACATTTCACAGGACGTGCACGATTAAACGGAGATATCCATGAAACAGGTCGGACTTTATCCATTTTTACACTACAGTCTAATTTCTCTCAAGTCATGCAAAAAAAGTATAAACATGCTTTTCCTATTTTTATCTACAGGTTCCTGCAACGGAAGTGACGTAACTGAACTGAACGTGACAACATCACAGTCATCAAACTACACTGGTGTTGGAGGAGTTGTATACAGTTCTGAAAAAGCTATTGAGGATGTGAACAATTGTTCTCACACCAACAAACAGATCGACCCCTGGTGGAGAATTGACCTGCTGGGTGTCTACAGAATACATTGTATCAGTATCTTCAACACAGATCATCATAACGCTAATATAAACGGTGCCAAGATTTACATTGGGAACTCAAGAAAGAAGAACAGCACCACCAACCTGTGGGTCTATTACTTTCATGTTACTTTGAATTGCTTTATTTCACATTTTCAGGAGGCTTCGGCCTGTCTAATTTTTATTTATTTTGAGTCTGCGCCTCTCCATCTCATAAGTTCATCTTTTTCTCTCTTCCAGACGTAAAAACATCACAGACTTCACACAGAAGAAACAGAATAACTTCTTTTTTAATACCAATGTGTCAGGGCGCTACATCACTGTGTTCTTCCCGGAAATGCACTTTTTAATTCTGTGTGGAATGAAGATCTTTGGCACAAAAAAAGGTACACAATGTTCTTATCCACAAAGTGAGTTGCTAGAGATGAGTTAATACTTTACTGGCATATCTCCTTTAAGGTTAAATGTGGACAGAAAGGCCATGAATACAGACAAACTGTAATCAAAAACCCTAATTTCTGCGTTAAACCTCTGTTTTTCTCTCAGATGTTCACTTTCTGGGAAATCTTCCCATTTTATTCCCTCTTATTCTCTATTGTGCCCTTTGTTTTATATTCTGAAATGTAAAAAGATTAAATGTTGGACTAAATAAGAGTTGAAAGTGATCAGAGGAAGGTATGGGTTTCCTCTAAAGTGGATGACTTCCAGGTGATACAGTTCATTTCTGGAACCCTCCAGTAAATAATTACACACAGTTTTAAAACTGTTGTGTGTCTGCTCTCACCCTCAAAATGCTTGTACATGTTCACTTATTTCGTTTCTATTCACTTTTTTTTTTTTTAGAATCGCCCTTCATGTTGATCAGAGAGAAAAAGACGTGGGTAGAAGCGCTGGAACACTGCAGGGACCAAGACATGCACCTGGCTTCCATCGTTGACAGAGAGACCCAGACCTGGGCTGAGTTGGAGGCCAGAAATTCCAACACTCACTTTGTGTGGCTGGGCCTTCGCTACACCTGCATCCTCGAGTTCTGGTTCTGGGTCGAGGATCTGCCTGTAAAATTCAATCGCTGGGCTCAAAAAGGAAAGAAAGACGACTGTAACATGAGTGGTGCCATGGACAGAAAAGAGAAGCATTTGTGGTACAGCAAATCTGATGTCGGAAAATTTAATTTCATATGTGCAAAGTAAGAGAAATCTATGTTTGCTTTTCTCAGCTATGGGTGTTTTGTGGCATTGGTGTGTTGTGAAAAATTCTCAAATTCCCAGTGCAGCAGCTTTCCACATAAAAATGATGGAATGAAGCAGAGGGCATTTCTACTTCCATCTGCTTTAGCATGGCTTACAACAAAACCGATATTACTTGTTTTTTAGTAACTGTAACAGTTTATTTAAAGCCACTACATGGAACACACATTTTTTGTGTGTGGATAAAGTGCAAGTTTTTCTTAGCAACAGAGTCCCTTTAGAAAACCCCATTTTAGTGCAGCAGGGTCAGTCTGCCCCGCTCAGTCCTGGTTCTGGTTCTCCCGTGCCTCCCTTCCCTCCTGCGGACCAGCAATACGGCCTGGGCCTGTTGGTGTTGGCTCCCAGCGGGGAGCAGCGCAGCAGTGAGGTGAAGCTCGGCTCTTGGCCGGGGAAAGAGCGTTGAGAATAACTATATAGAAATATCTTCGACTGATGGTCTCGTTTACTTATGAAGGTCATATAGAGTCATCAGTGTTAAATTAGATTGTTTCACCTCCAGTTAAACGTTCCTCATGTTAAATTGAATTGATGTTAGCCTAAATTTCAGGTTTTGTATGCACTTAATTTGTAAAATGTTTGCAATGTGTATTTACAGTAGTGTAAATGTATCCTTCATTTCCATTTCATTATACTGTAAGATATTGATATTATAGCAAAATGTTTTTGAGGTTCGTAGACTTTTGTTCGACTGTGTAAAACCTTTGTTACAACATCAACGTTTTTTAAATTCACTTCTTTAAAATGGCATTGGGCATTTTCACGGCCTATCATTATTTAATTAACTAATGCTGATGTGAAAAAAAAATGCCCATTCAGAAATAATGTTTGAGATGTCTCTCAAATATACAGAAATTTAAAAAAATGGATTTCCATTTGTATGAAATATATTTCTTATTTGGCCACATGTATGTTGTAAACCTTTGCTGATATATAACCTTTGCATTTTCAGCCCTCACTATGTTGTTTTTAAATTACATTTTGTTTGATTGCCATTTACTGTATATGTTACTTCCGCTGATTATAGGAAATATATAGATGTACGGTTGATATTATATATGTGTTCACTTTTTTAGGTTGGACACTATGAAGATGCAAACTTGCCTTTCACAATATATGTTTTTCCGGTGTCGGTATCAGTTTAAATTAAAGTTCAGATGTACAGTATTTGAACCACTCATTCTTGTTGTGTTGATGTGTCCTGCATGCGTCCATTTACATCATGGGTCGGAACCTTTCTGCCCGGAACCATTAAACCCCGTACACTGTATTAGTCGTGCAATTTAGACGTAAGGACTGCGTAACTGCGGTTTAAACAACCCTTAGCTGTGTCTTGTGACACACTTACCTATTGAAATCAGGGAATTGTTCATACTTGTCGGGTCCGAATGGAGATATTCGCCACGTTTGATGACTCTGTGTTTTTGGAGGCGAGAGACAAAGTCTCCGTGACTTTGTGTTCTTACAACGCTAAACTGTGTGAGCCGGAGGTGAGAGTTCAACTTAAACTGTTAACATGAATACAGCTGCAGTGTGGGACACCAGCACTACGGCGTGTGGGACACCAGCACTACGGCGTGTGTAGATGATGCTGGACACGGATGAAGGGACACCGACTTAAAATGCTCTTCATTGTGATGTGCTGCTGCTAGCTGGTTAGCTAACAAGCTATGGTTGATTTGACTCTTTCGTAAACGACATACACACTTATAATGTTAAATACGTAACAAGAAATAAAAGAACAATAGTCAAAGACTAAATCTCACACTGCACATGTGAAGACAAAAAAGATGCACAATGAAATACAATAAACCAAACTCTAAGTAGCATATTACACATACAAGTTGTGCTACATACAATTCAAACATAGACACAGAATGAGATGAAACACCAACCGTGTATATCTCCGTTGTGGGCAACACATTGATATTTAGGCTCGTAGATATAGATGTATAACTGTAAGATATGATACTTTAATAAAGAAGGTAAAAACAATCCAGTTTATCCCATGTTATTTATTTTGTGTGTGATCTTTGCATGTGGAGAAACACTATCTCATTTGGTGGATATGTAATATGTTTGTAGATTGAGTACATTTTTTAACATTGCTCCAAATGATATGTGCTTTTAAATCGTTGTCTTCTCTTGTTTGTCTGCAGTGGTTCTGTGAGAATACTGCTCTCAATACAGATGATCCTTTGGAGAAGCAGAAAATCTACAAGTTCAGAGGTGACTTGGCTGTGAGACAGGGAGACCATCAGGTAATTCAGCAGGCGTTCAGTTTAGTCACTCATTTCTAATTTGAAGTACTTCTCTGCGGCCTTTGTGATTTTTCAGTTATGCTGACAAACTACCATTGAAGTTGGTGACAACTCACCGCTGGAAGCTCTCATTTGAATGTCCGTCAGGAGTAATTTGCAGCAGCACTGGTGTCATGGGCCAGTCTTTGTTTCTGTAGAGCCACCAACATACAGGACTGAGATCGATAGATTAGGTTCATTGTTTTAATGTGTAACAAATAATAAGACAACAAAGCAAGAATAACCAAAATGAACAGTAAACATATACAGCAAATTCTAAATAGATAATATGCCTGAAATGAGTAGGCAGACACTTATCTGGTCATACCTCTTTCTACAACTACAATAATTAACTTAATGTTAATCGCATAAAATGTTATGAATTCACATTACATTGTTCTTGTAATGTAGACATTAATATATTCTTCCCAACAGAGCACAAAAATTAACATATTTACTATAATTGGCACAAACACGGAATCATTTCCAAATAACAGACTTGTGAAAACCCACTCGTCACAACACACTGAAACTCCAGGGGGCGTAAAACCAGGTTAAATGTTGAAATATTAAATGTTATTTGCTGTATTTGAACAATGTACTTTCTGCTGTCATTATATGTAAATATATATACACACACACACACTGTAAATAAGTTTGTTTTTCCAATACGTTTACATTAATTGCTCGAGGCAATTGAAACACTGGGTTTGACTTGGCTCATAACTTTTGTCACGTTATGTCATTCACACCGCTCTCCGTTGTCCACTATGAGGTGTGTAATGTTCTCACGGTGTGGTGGGTACAGAAAGCCTTGGATGCATACAGCAGCTGCCAGGAGTGGATCGCTGACAACAACCTGACCATCAGAAGAGATGTACTGGAGGGAATGGCCCGATGCTGCACCAAACTGGGCCAGAGAGACAGAGCGCTGGACTTTGCCGACTTACTGGTAATTTTCTGTGAGCTTTTTTTTCCTGAAAGGTTTCCCATGTAGAACAATGTCCCCTCTCTAACCGGAACAACCTGTTGACATTGTGAAATGCTTTATATACCACTTGGTGTTCAAGAAAAAATCCAAAATTGTTAGATTGGTTGCGATTTAGTGTATTTAAATAACATTTATGTTTGCTCTTACTGTCATGAAATACTATTAGCTTATAAACATGAATTATACTGTACACACTGAATATAATATTAATGATTGTTTCTCAAAGTATAGCATTGTTTTGGTTGACTTTTTTTATATTTACCTTCCAGGCAGCCATTGCTTTTTATTCACAGGATGTTCGTTACTTCAGCTTTAAGAGCTAATAAAGATTAAGCTCAGATATTAGAAGTTACTTGTCAAACAGAAAACCTTTTAATTACCAGAGTCCACATTTGCTTATTGTCAGTCTTCTGTTTTAAAACATCCACCAATGCAGCTCATTATTGTAATCTGTTGTCTCTTAAAAAATGGATGTAGGTTTCCCACTAGCACCTGAACGCACCACCCCTGAAGAATGTTTCATCTCTGAAATAACATGAACTAAGCATAAGTTCCTTAAATGTTTTCTGTGATAGACAACCTATCTGACGGAGCGAGTTGCATTTCTTAGTCTACTAACATTCGAAAGGAGCCAGAACTCAGTAGTAATTTATACATCATCTTTCTCCAGAGCAAAGACGTGTCTAACACCTGTCACCTGACCAGCCTCCTGCTGCTCAAGGTCAGCATTAGCCAGAACACACACACGTAAAAACACATTGTTCTTTGTGGGTCCCAAATCATTTTCTGCAAATGTGATAATATTCTTTTACCGAAGGTCAGCATCTACCAGCATTTTGGAGCCGTACGATCAAAGATGTCCGCTCTGCAGCAGCTGTGTAGCCTGCTGCCCTTTAACCCCTGGCACTGGTACAACCTTGGACAGATGTGTCTGCAGCTGCTGGAGAGCGGCAGAACCACAGGTCGGATGGAGTTCTCTTCCTGTTTCTTTTAGCACCAATATAATTTAAAAGTAAATTATGCACGTGAATCGTTGATTCATCGTTTTTTATGGCAGTGGTGAATGAACACTCTTGCTCTTTTTCTCAGGCAAGTAGCAAACGCATAGATGATAACTATATGATGTGTCCTCATGGTCCGATGTGTTCACCTCTACTAGGATCGTGTTCCCCAGAGAGGTGCGAGTCATCAGAAGAGCAGAATGATGGAGGGACTGAGGAACAGCAGCAGGAGGCAGCAGAGCTCAATGACAACAGAATCTGGCTGAAAGCTTGCGTCTGTTTCATCAGAACGAGGTACAGAGATTCTAATCTCAATGCTTCACATACTGAAGAAAATATCAGCCAATTCACAGTATATATTGTAATAGTTGAAACAGCAGCTGGACCAGATGTTGTGTAAAGCACTGGCACTCAACCTTTTCAACTTAAGACTCACTTAATTTACGAGGAACACCTTCCTAAATATATAAGAAAAGAACATAACATGATAATAAAGGAGAAATATAAATCGTCAGCTGTAATGACCAAAATAAGTATTCTGCTTACCCTCACCCATCACTGCCTGTCCTTATGAATCCAGATTTAGATTCAAACGTAACTGGTCCTTTAAATTATGCTTTGTTTGAATAACTGTTTTATTTATGTAAATTACTGAGCATTATTAATCTGAGCATTTATTTGGCAGTACTTGCGTGGCCCACTAGATGTCGCTCTGAGGCCCAACAGTGGCCCCTGGCCCGGTGGCTGAGAATAGCTGGTGTAGCCTTAAAAAAAATGAATCTACACCTTAAAATACCTAGTTTTAATCAGTTGTCTCACACGTCACAAATTCAAGATAATCTGCAAAACATCCACTCAGTGACGATAAAATCTGTGGAGATGTGACAGTTAAATGTGTGCTCAAATTACAGATTTGCTCTGAGTATTTTATTAAGAGTTTAAATGTGAATCATAGTGTCTGAATGTCTCATTGTCTCTTGTGTCTCCCTCAGACTCCTGCTGAGAATCCTTCGACAGCAGCAGTCGTCCTTCGTGTTGCAGCGCACTGAAAGCACTCTACAAATGACAGATGAGGTGTTACAGAGGCTGAGTCCCAAAGAAACAACCCTGCAGGCTCTCACTGAGGTGAACACTTGCTCCTGGGTTTGTTTGTACATGTTGTGTCAAGGCCTTTGGGGCTGAATTAAAGTCAGAGGATAGTTTTTACAGATCAGCAGACTTTCAGCCTCTCTCTGTTTTGATCTCCCAGGTGGTGTCAGAGGACCTAATTCCAGAGAAGATGAGGGAGGACTGCCAGGACGGGGACAGTCTGGCCAGCGTGTGTGTGCAGAGCTTCAGGGAGCGCTGGTGGAACAAGATCCTACTGACCGGTGTGCTCGAGACTGATGGCCTTCAGACACGGACACAGTGCTGATGCTCCAGGGATTCCTGTTCATATATTAAGACGTTGGCAAACAGAAAAGGGACCGAAGAACATGCCGAAGTTCCTGTCACTGTATAAATCTCATCAAAACGTGAAAGAAACTGGATGAACTGAAAGCCAGGTCAAAGTCCTGCAACAGAAGTGGAAATACACAAATACAGTTGACATTCTCAAAAATACCAAAACAGCACAATAGTATCATCTTCAGAAGTATAAATCACGGTCTTAAAATGCAATAGAATTTTTCACATTCTGCTCCTCACTTTATTGGAGCGCTGGGAGAACTGCGCCGTGAATCGTACATTTCAAGGCTTCATCCACTTCATCGTGTGTGCAGTATGATTCAGACGGGAAACAAAGTCACACATTTGTAAATCTTCCAATGTTCTGCCTAAAATGTCACGTCTGCCTTAACATGTTCATATATTAAGAATGATTTTAATAAAAATATTTTCTTTTGTGAAATATTCTCAAACAAAATGTCTTCTTTGACACAGGCCTATTTCTATTATACGTAGGTACTTATGGTTTAGCTACAGTTTATGAGGTGTCTGCCTGCAACATTGGCTGTTCTTAAAATGAACCATTACCACCGAAAGATAGCCAGCTGGTCTCAAGTATGTTTAGTAGAGTAATAGTTTGATGACATAACTCCCAGTGTAGCTCCACCCAGCATTAACCTAAGCAGATGTCTGATTGGCTAATTACTGAAAAACACCTGTCTGTGTGAAGTCTTTGACTTTTTACGATATTTTTTAGACATGCTACAGTATAGCATATATACTATGACTTTTTTCAAGAAACTGTTTTTCCAGATACAATGACTAAAACTAAACTGACTTTTCAAAAGACAATTTTTTTTTAATGATTTTTTTTTGACATACTATACTATGACGCTTTTATTATTTCTGAAATACTATGTTCTGACTTTTAGAATACAATAACACGACTTTTTGACTTTAACACTCAGTACTACAGCCCTTTTATTACTTTTTGACATACTATACTCTTTTTAGAGCTACTATACTTCTGCTTTTCATAACTTTGAGAGTTGACTTTTTCAACTTGCTGTGCGATGACTTTTATGACAATTATTAGACGTTGGCACTTAAGCCAACTTATTTACACATTAATGTCTACAGTTTATGAGCTGCTTGTCTCCTAAACATGCTTTAGCACAATAAAAACCCGTGGCATAGGAAAATAATGTACATGCTTTTTTTATTTTATTCTTACACACAAAACCTGATGCTCTGAAAAAAGTTAAATCGTCATTTTGTGAGACAACACTAGTTTATTACAATTACATTAGTTTAACACAGTAGAATATACTGTATATTTCACAATAATGGAAGAATACACTATCTTTCATTGACCTGTATGATTGTACTGTGTGTGAGGGTGAATAAATGTGTCCAAGCATGTCAGTTTCTATAACACCAAAGGTCAAAATGAGTCCGTATATTTCTGTCAGATGTTTGGATTGAGGCTTGCCGAGTGTTTGCCAGTCATGCTCTTGCTCCTTCCAAATAATGTATTCCTACTGCTGTGAAACAGCCTGAAGTCCACCTGTCTGTCCCGTCCCGTAAGTGGTATTGAAGGAGCTATGGCGAGCCATAGGTCTAGGTCTTTCAGTGCGACTCTGGGTCATCCAGTTTAGTCTTGGAAGGGGCCTTCCCTGGTGGGAAGTGTGGGGCTGTAGATGTAGTATGGCTCCTGTACCTGGTAAAAACAGCTTGGAGTTGGACTGGAGCTGAGGTTTAAGACAAGCTCCCATGGCTGATGATGTTGACTTTGAACCTGGAGCCTCTATAGTTGGGTTTGCCTGAAGGGAGGGTTGGTGGTGTCTCTGGGGCTGATCTTGCCTCCTGGTTCCCAGAGAGGACATGTTAGTGTGTAGCCCAGATGTCGGTCCTCTTTGGTGGCTTAAAGGGAACCACGGGCCTGTCTTTGCTTGTTTTTGCTGTGTTGTGGAAGGGGGCAGTTCTTTGGGATAATCAGATCGAAAGTCCACTTTCGATTTATATTTAAGTGAATCGTTCCATTGTCGTCTTTTTGGGTCGAGACCTGCAGCAATCCCTGAAGGCTCTGTTAACCTGTTCCTATTCCTTTGCCAAAAGACAAGACCTTCAGTACCCACATTATGATGCTTGAGATTAGTCCCGAAAGTTGATTGAAAGCTGACAATCCTGTGCTGTCCTTGTGTGGGTGAAGCAATGTGTACAGGGATATACTCTGGAGCCCTCACATGCTTTTCCGATGTCGTGTTGATGGTAAGGCTGGTAAGCTGAGACTGAACATGTGACACATGGGTCAGACTGAGAGGGTTTGAGTGACTCTGGATCGGGGTTTCATTCTTCTCCAGAGGTTCCACATTTTTTTTGTGCACCATGCCACGTGAGGACAGCCCCCACTGTATGCTTTGATTTGCCCACAGACTGAACAAGATGTTTTGGGTACAGTTGCAGAGGTTCTTCATGCATTTGTGTACCAGTGCCTGCTCTGTGTAGAGGCTGGGTATCTGGATATCTCTGTGGATTGGATGAAACCGGAATCTTTGTTTTTGTCTGAGTGTTTTGAGCATTTTGATTCCAAACTTTGTGGCGCGCTGTTGTGGTCGGGCTCAATCTTGACTTACTGGCATCAGTGTTAGTGTTTTGAGCTGCATGTAATGTGGTGTAAAGAGGAAGAGTGCGAGGCACAGTGATAAAAGTGACAAAGCTGGGGACTGGTTTAGAGCTAGAGTATAGTCTGAGGAATTCCTGATGGAAAGGTATGACCCCGCTGCCCTTTACAAGAACAGCAAGACTACGATGGACCTGCCAGGACAGCCAGGAGAAACTGAGGAAACAACAGACAGACAGACAGACACACACACACACACACACACAAGTCACAAAGGTAAAGTGGAAACTGACTAGACATGCAAATATGTTAGATATACACTTAGAAGAAGACAAACATTTATTTTACAAGATATGTTTTTTTTGTTCATGTGCATATATACAGTATATGTATGTGTGTGTGCGTGTATGTGTGTGTGTGCGTGTGTGTACCTGTATGAGCCAGTCAGCACCTCAGTCCAGTCAGTGATGATAAAACTCTCCGTAATGTGACCGGTCAGCTTCCTGCCTGTCTTGGCACAGTAGGTTTGTCCCTCCACGCTGCGCACTGACAGCTTCTACATAAACACACAAACACGCACGCAAGACAGCAATTATTAATCAAGTATTCAATAAGTACAAGTTTTGTTCTCGGGGGAAGCAGACATAAAACACATTTCCTTAGCTATAGACAGTCAGAAGTTGTGATGGTTTGAAAGTTTTGTTTGTTTAATTGGTACATATATATATAATGTACAGTATATCGATGTTTTTCAAAAATAGCTGGTGACTGCAGCAGCAAATTAAACTCTTTTAAAGATAAAAGTGCAAAAAATGTATTACATATATGTTACATATGGAGATGATGGTATTGAAGATATACTACTGCAATGTACTTTACAGGTCAAAGTGTGTGCTTTCTAACAATGAGTGTTGAATCAAGTCCACTAAAAGATTGTACTTATTTAAAATAAAAATGACCTGCAGCACATTTATATCCCAAAACTAAAAATCACTTTTAGGTCAGACTCTTACGCCTGTGCTTCAACACCCTGCTGAGGGTCAAAGGTCAGCTTATGAAAGAGAGCTAAAAACAGAAACATCTAATGAGACAAAGCAGACAGCAGCATGTCCATCACGTACAGTCTGGCTATGGTGCTTTACGTGTGCAGAAATGTGTGCTGTGTGGTGCTTAAGCAGGGAAGCTGTAGCTCTTTGGTCAGAAGAGGTGGAGGTTGACTAAATAACACTAATGATGATGGATGGAGGGTTCTAGCTGATGTCACATCCACCCCAAAAAAAGCTAATGCTTTGATGCACCTTCTTCTTTATCTTCAACAAGTTTATGCAGTTAAAGCAGCTAACATGAAATGTACAAATACAACTAATTTTCAAACCTCAGGGTTACATTTGACAATTTTAATCTTTCTCTAAGAAAGTGAGGCCTTGGATTTGTGAGTTTTTAAAATAGAAACGCTGTGTGTGTGTGCGTGTGTGTGTGTGTGTGTGTCACCTTCCGGGAGAGATGGGATGCAGGGCTTAGATGAAAAGGAAAACCTAGTTTAATTATTTTATCTACGGGATGGGAGATGAAGTAATGTATTCAAGGGTCCTTATTACAGAGACATACCCTAACTGTTGTTCTATCTGAAGTTTTAAAGATGGGAAGAATCGTATCTTCCTATTACAGAAGCAACTGTTAAACTCATGGCTACATCCTATCCTATCTCAGACCACTGATCATAGCTTAACTTCTTAAATATAACTATGCAATTTTAATTTTGCATGAAAAACAAGACTATTACTATTTTATTACTTTTTGCAGGGGGGGGGGGGGGGGTTTCTATGTCTAGGTTTATAAGTTATGATAGGACAAGTAGTTTAAATCTATTTCTGTAATGAGGCCCAAGTGCTCCTGAAAGTGAGGCAAAATGTGTTTTGACCCGCCCCCCCACAGGTTTTCAGACAGCAAAATAAATTTCCAACAATTTTGATGAAGTCTGATTATTTCACAAGACCAAATGTTGGTAAAAAACCTTAACGCAGCCAAGCTCAGACGGGCAGGTGGAGGGAAAGACTCACAGGGAAGCTTCTGCTGTCGAGTTTGAGGTCCTGCCACATGTTGACAAACAGGTTCAGGTTGAGATGATCCAGTAGCAGATGAACAGACACATTCCTCTTCCTGCTCGCCTCCAGAAGATCACAGAGCAGCTCTACATCACTGAAGTTGTCCATCACTATGGCCAGGGCCTACACACACACACACACACACACACACACACACACACACACACACACACGGTCACATGTCACTAAAGCTGTCAATCACTATAGCAAAGACCTGTACAGACAGATATGGCTCACTGTGTTTCTGACTTTTCAGCCCACAAAATCCAATACCAACATTTTTAATCTTCTCTTGCGTGTACAGGCATGTTATGTTCCTTTTTACGTGCCGGCACACGCTGAAGCACACACACACACACACACGCTGAAGCACACACGCACACACACTCACACACACGCTGAAGCACACACACTCACACACACGCTGAAGCACACACGCACACACACACACACACGCTGAAGCACACACACTCACACACACGCTGAAGCACACACGCACACACAGACACACGCTGAAGCACACACACACACACGCTGAAGCGCACACACAAACACACCATTCCAGCTTTTCTGATGAACTTTCTGACCAGGTCTTTCATGCAGGCCTCCCTGGTGTCGGACTGCAAATAAACCTCAACGTTGGGCTTATCCAGGACAGGCTCAGTCAGCTTTACATCTGGAAAGGGACAAATAGATGAGAATGATTCGCCATGAAATTACATTAGGCTGACATACAAAAGTCTCTACAGGATAAGACTAGTATTTTTTGGAAATGACTTGCTTCCATAAAAGTTTTCTACTTCTGCAATAACTTTTTCAGCTGGTCAGGTCCAAACCTGCCACAGTAGGATCACTGTCTGTGGACACTGCAGGACGTTGTGTGGCATCATAAGATGCACCAGGATCAGCTGTGTGAAAAACAAAAACTTGCATCAAGCTATGATAAATAACAAGTGAAGCAACCAGCAATAGTTCTTTTACATCTAATCAGAATCAGAAACTGTTTATTGCCAAGTACGTACACATACAAGGAATTCGGCTAGGGGATTTGATGCGTAACTAAAACACTGTGCAATAGTATGACATCATTTAAAATAGAAAATATGAAAATTCACAATAAAAAAACAAACAAAAAAAAAAAAACAAGAGTACGTTAAAACAAGGATATTATGAAAGTGTCACGTGTTAAAAGAGAAAAGATGTGAAAAAGTAAGAAATTGTCCTGGGGATGTAGCGTCTGAGTGAGTGGGGGTCCCGGGCTAATGAATCAATCTCAGGCTATATCTTATGTTTTTAAACAATTGACAGCAAAGAGCCGGCCAAAATGTGAGAATTATACATGACAACGTAAAAACAAACATTTACAACCTGTGTTGCCATCCCTCCCATTTTCCAGGATGTAGGTCTTCTCCAGCTCCGACAGAAAGTCCACTTCTCCCTCAGCGTGCAACACCTCGTGGTATCCCTCTAAACCACGGCTGAGCAGGGAGTCCACTGCCAGCCGAGCGCTCTCGTTGTGGCTCAAGTCCAATGGGGGTCTGCTGGCTATAAGGTCGTAGCAAGAGGAGGAAGGGATGCGGAGGTCCTGAACCCGTCGCCTCACCTTCCCCTGGGGTTTTGACCTCCTGTACAACAGCACAGACGCACCGCTGGTCTCCATGGATGATGCTAGTCTCCTTTACTGAAGTTTGGTTTGTAAGAGGTAAAATGATCTCATCAGACAATCAGTTCAACCACAAGCAGGCCCACGTAACAGCTGTGCATAATGAAAGAACTACTGGTTGAAGCACATAGAAAGGTTAAGAGGTGGACCCGCCCCTGCTAAGGCGGTTTCACAAGTGATGAGATGTGACAGGTGAGAGAAAAAGTCATGCAATTAGAAATACTTAGAGAAAGTATGTTCATGTATAAATGTTGATTCATAGGTACGTTCTTGGCATCATGAGTGAGATGTAATATTTGGCTTCGAGACATATTCCTATACTTCTACGAGGCATCGTGTGTGTGTGTTTCTTGTCATTGATTGAGAGCGATGGAACAGAAAATGATCGACTGATTTAGCCTTTTTCCTTTCAGGGCCCGAGAGTGATTTAGAGCAGGTTAGGACGGATAAATGATGGGTGGAGGGAAAGAAAGGAATGAGTGACAGCAATGGAGACGGCTGTCATTTCAGCTCATGTCAAACACCACCTGGATGATTGAAGGCCCAAAGCCTGAGAAAGACATGTTTCAGGCACACCCAGTGAGCAGCAGAAGCACACAGATCCTTAGCTGGAGCTTTAAAGTAAGAACACTTCAGATCTGCATCTGAAATATATATATTTAAAAAAAAAAAAAAAAAAAAAAAAAAAAAAAAAAAATAAAATATAAAAAAAAAAAAAAAAAAAAAAAAAAAAAAGACAAATTGCCTATTGTCTTGACATAAGCAGACACACAGATCATCAACACTCTGAAACAAACTCACTCCTCAAAATAGCCGATCAAAACATACCTGATAAATGATAAAGCCCCTCAGAACTAAATTAGCATATTTCATGTTGTATTACTCCATCTATGGATTCTGTTTGTAGGAAACCGGCACCTGGACCTCCTTTCCTGCATACAGATGTGTACGTTACCGTTCTCATTCATTTTAAAAGTACATCAAAAGGGTTTTGAGGGGCTGCATTACAACTCAATGACTGCTACGATCATTGTACAATACCAGACATAAGAACACAAAGCCTAACGCATGTGTATTTTAAAAGGCACAATGAAACAGAAGGTTGAATCAGGATTTTTAACAACATTTTATCAAAACTAGGGTTTAAATAAGACAAATCATATAAAACTTATTTGAAATAAAAATTCAAAAAGGAGGCATCAGCGCAAATACTGCAGAGATATAACAGTTTGTCTGTAGTACAGTTAGATGTTCGTTACTGCACTGTAGACACTATAGAACTAACGGATGTTTCGTCATACAGTTAACGGACTAGACACAGTACCTGAATATTGTATGTTGCATCAGATTGTCCCGTGATCACACGGAGTAACGCTCACCGGCTACAGACGGACTGCAATGATACAACACTGGCCATTGTCTGTGTCTGGAGTGGCCACAGAGTAACAATAAATTAAACCGTTGTTGCTTCTAGGGATGTTATCAGAGAACCCACCTATGAATGACGGTTGACTTGGATCCTGGAGAAGTGACACAACCTGAACAATCATGTGCAGATCGCATGAAGCAACACCACAACCCAAATGATGAACCTGTTTCTGTCCTCAGACAGAGGACTACGGTCTTAATGGAAGACATGGGGTGTTCATGAGATGGTGGCTGATGGTGCACAGTTCAAATGTTTGACTCCATTTGCATTAATAATGTATAGTTTAAGGACGAGCACTTGGGAAGTGGTAAACAGATAGCAGCTGGCCTGTATGCTCCTCAGTCTGAGTCATTGTTTCTGCTGTTGCAGCTCCCTTGAGACAAGAATATGTTTTTGTGACGCTCTGACGCCAGAGAGCCGTTGGTGGTCACTGGGAGACAGAGGACAGTGTGTGCACAGACTGTGAGGAGGCAGCGCTGCCCTCTCTGGCTCTGACCGCCAGCTTCCGTCTCAGCTCTCGGATTTCCTTCATCAGTTGTCTCTCGCCGCTGTCCAGCTGGGCCCGGCCTCGGTCCAGGGAAACTGTCAGAGAACAAAGTATTTATACACAAACCTAAGATAAAGACGGTCATGTTATGTAGAGCTGAAACAATTATAAGATGAATTGATAAGTTGATTGACAGAAAATGAATCGACAAATATTTTTTTTATAAAAGAAACAATTGTTTTAGTTCATTTTCAAGCAGAAATGACAAACATTTAATAGTCTCCTAATGTTACCCGAACTGCTTTATTGCAACAATTTCTGGTTCGGGGAACGTTCTGTGAGCGTTGGGGAGCTATATGTCTGTCCAAGGTGGAGCTATGATGCTATAATTAATTAAAATGTATATTTTAATTGTTATATTTTGAGAGTCAAATCAGAATCTGCAATGTAACCAGTGACATTTCTGTCAGGGAAATGTAGTACTATAATGTTTTCCTCTGAAGTAGAAGTATACAGTAAGTAGTAGGCTGGGTGTGAGAAGCAACTACTGTATGTCATGGCAGGTGTACTGCTCAGGACCCAAAGGAAGCGCAGTGTTGAGTGTGAAGTCGTTTGTATGAACGGTTCTCGAGAAAGCTGCAAGCAGCAACAAACACCACGGGCCAAGCATTGAACAGGCACTGCGCTCATCTTTAGAAAACATCACAGCATATCCACAATGACTTACAGTTGGTGGAGGTGCTTTCTGAAGGTGAGCTGCTGTTCAGACACACCGTGTTGGTTTCTGCCTGCTTTGGGAAGGTGGCAGATTTGGTTCTAACATAAACAGCGGTGGTGGCACTGGGTCTTTGAGGCAGTCCTGTGGTGGAACAAAATTATGTTATCACCGTCCGACACTAAGCAAACACTGTAATATTAGATCCACGATGCAATGGACAGGTCAGCACAAAGGCCACATGAAAACTGGTGTACGTGTGGAGAAATACCTGTGCCTGCTGAAGACAGAGGCTGTTGCTGCTCCTGTAACCGGGCTCTGGAACTCATTACTTCATCCCACTGCAAATCAACAAGTATTCATCGTCCGAGTGATCAGTGATGTTTTTATATTTCAGACATTGAGACGCTTAGATATGACGTTTCTAAGTGACACAAATATCAATATTTTATTCTGTTATACTGATTTTAGAAAGATAAAAACAGACCTTAACATATGTCATAGTAATCATACATACACAAGCCAACGCATCATGTAAATTGCTGTGTTGACAAACACTCTTTTCTTCTCACCTTCCTTCCTGCCACATCTCTCATGGTGTCAGCCAGTCTCTCCTCCTCTGCCAGGGTTTGCCTGTGAAGCTCTGCCAGTTTCTCCCTCTTCCTCTCCTGCTCGGCATCGACCTGCTGCAGGCGCTCCGCCACCTCTCTCTGCCAGTGCGACTCCAAGCCCAGTTGGCACGTCTCCGCCATGGACTCCTCCAGGGCCTGTGTGTGTGTGTGTGTTGAGGGAGAGAAAGTTAGAAGATTGTGTGCCGACGTATGGCGATAATATTTCACCGACTCCATATTGGAATGCGTCACCCACCTGCATGTTTGTCTCGGTGCAGTGTAGCAGCTCTGTGTAGCTCTCTTCCTCTTTTTCTGCCCTCCTCATCCTCATCTCCACCTCCCCCTCAACCTCCCGTCCCATGCGCTCATGCTCCTGAAACATGTGCTGAGGGAAAGGGTCATGGAATGAACACTTCAGACTCAAAATTATTACAACAATCAAGAGGTTGAAAGTGATGTTATTACATGGTGGGAATTCACTGTGATTATTACATCAGCTAAATATATATTGTCCGATTGTCTAGTCCTCGGTGCTTGATTGTAAGTACATGTGTGATATCCATTTGTTGTGATTAAAGGAGGCTACAACCCTGAAGTCTTGGATTAGATACAACCATGAGGGAATTTGCTTCCTGTAACTTAATTTTGTTTCAAAGTGAGATAAAAACTTAGAGGCCGAGTTGTGATTGTTGATATATTTAATGCCCAGTGAAAAAGCACATTTTATACTTCCAGGTATTTCAACAGCAAAATGTGTTTAAGAGACTCATCATTTGGGAGTAAAGGGTCGCAGAGAGAGACAGAAAAAGGGAGGGAGTAAAATGAATGAAAAGAGGATGTTGTGAGAGAGGAGGGAGGGGTTTAATGCGAGCAGTTTGTCACCTGTTCAAGTCGCCTCCTCTGAGCCTCCAGCTCCATCTGTCGGACTTCTAGATTCTGGACTGCTGCAGCTGTTTCTCGCTCCCGGAGATCCATCTGTTGCACAACATAAAGGTTGCTGTTGGGTTAGTGCTCAAACATGGAGGTTATTAAGTCCACGACAGATTCTTTTGGTAGAAGTTAACAAATTGAGACAAGCGTGTTAATGTGTTGAGCAGAGGGTGGGATTACAGCCCAGGATCTCTGCTATGGCCAATGTGGGCTCCTTTATATAAGAAGACCACTTTGAATCTTAACCACCAGGTTACCTTTCTACTGATGTCCTGATCTAGTCTTTGGACCTGTGAGGCTCTCAGGTCCTGCTGGTGTTTGAGGAAACGTCTTTTAGTTGCATCCAGCAGCTGTAACTCCTTCACCTTCACCTCTCTCTTCATGGCTGCCAACCTGCAGAGGACAGAGTAGTGTCAGCAGCAACCCACTCTGCTAAATAACATTGTTCTTTTTTTTTTCCCTCATAACAATGAGGTGCATGTCTCATGCTTTTACTTTGCCCTCTGCTGCATTAGTTTTTCCTCTTCTTGTGCCAGGATGTTCCTGCGCTGTTCCTCGGCTTTCTGCAGCAGCTCCCGTTTTCAAATCAATCAAAGTATTGAATTCATTTAATTTACATTCCAGGCTTGCATTTCATAGACAGATTAAGGCCCAATATCTACCTGTTGTGCATAATAGGCCTCCTCTTCAGCCTGGCGACGCACAAAATCTGTGTGCAGGGCTGACACCTCCTGTCTGATGAGACATAGACACACAATTCATCTGCTGCATATTTTCTCACTCGTGACTTTGATGTGTATTATCTAAGGCTCTTTCTAGCTAATTAAACATACACGTCTGCTCATACTAACACTGTCAACACACAATGTTTAATTTCACCTCTCACGGAGATACTCCACCTCCTGCAGTCGTATCTTCTCCCTCTCTCGGCTCTGGTATTCAATGATGAATTCGGGGTAGTGGTTGAACACGGGGTACTGACCATTGGTCAGTGGTGTTAAGTCAGAGAGCATATTCCTGGGATGGATGTCAGCTGGTGTGCCGCCCATGAGCCGGTACGCTTCTTTTATCATGGCTCCCAAATCCAGGTTGTTACGGTGGTGGAAAAAATACTGAAAGGAAAAAGAAGGGAGGGGGGGGGGGGGGTCAATTTGATGGAGCAGGAGAGAAAGACACAATTACAGACTTAATATGGCTCCGACTATATTTTCAGAGGACAGTTACCTCAAAGTCCTGTTTCCGGGAGCAGAGCAGCAGAGGCTCACGGCAGCAGGTGATGTAGGCCACACAGGCCATGAGCAGGAATGATGGATGGTTGGAGAAGATGTTGTCAAAGAGTCGGAGCCACTCATCACGGGTCAAAACCTCAGAGAACAGGGTCTCCAGCAGGGGCCACACATAGAGCTGAGACAGATATAGAGATGCGCAATAAAATCTCTATATCACATGGGTGTGAAACTGTGAGTGTGGAGTTCCAGGACAGCGGTCTGTCCACTCGTCCAAGGGTGGACGAGTGGAGTGACTCTTCCGGGTTGTGTGTACTTGTGTACAGTTACCTGTGAGGTGATGCCACAGTCCACCAGGTGCTGCAGCAGTTCCTTGTCATGATGAGCCAGAACGTTCTCCGCCATGCTCAGGATGTTCAGAGGAGGGTTGGGGAAGTACTCAAACCAGTGCTGACCCCAATTCACTGTGCAACCAAACATCCAAGTAATCAAGAGACTGATAATACATCGAAGTTGCCTCAAGACATTCAGATGTCTGATAAACAGAGACAAAATTGAAAAACTTGAAATAAGTTTAAAGAATTAAAATGGTTCCAAATCCATTGGTGTCAAAGTTTTGGTCTTTGGCTGCGCACACTGAAGCAGTGTTGTTTGGATTAAATGCTTATGAATGTAGCAGTGCTACTCTCTACACATGAAACGGGTACAACACGTGTAGTAATTCAATACTTTACACAAAGCAGCAGCCCAAAAACACAGGAAAGCTTTCAAATGTGTGTAGTGCACATTTTATAATGTTGTGTTTACTGGGAAAATGGCCTTTCATAATAACCATGAAGTACCTATAACAGTGGCCACCACCTCAAAGCACAGCATTGGGTTGTTCTGGAAGAGCTTGACAAACGGGAAGGCTACTAGGGGAAGGTACTCCACCTCTCCAAAGATGGCCGCCCAGTGAGCTAAGGCAGACAAAACCCTGTTGAGTAGAAGAAGATGAAAAGTATGCGATTACAAAAATTGATTTAAAAAAAAAAAATGAAATACTTAGAGTTGCAATTGTGTGTGTGTGTGTGTGTGTGTGTGTGTGTGTGTGTGTGTGTGTGTGTGTGAGAGAGGGAAAGAGAGATTACCTCTGTAGTCCCCTCTGTAACTTGTGACTTTTGATGGGGTACTTATCATGCAGAGTGAGGTAGGCTGAATGCAGGCCTTTATCAGTCAGACTGCTGTACGCCGCATGGTTCTCTGGGAGACACAACAAAGACCGCCACACAAACATCCTGCGATGTGGACACAAAGGTTAAGTCGTGTGAATCTGACCACACAAGTGTTAAAAGTTGGCATGCATTCGTCAGTCATCAAATAAATGCATGAATCCCCCTCCTGTGAAGGTAATCTTTACCTGTATTTAGCAGGATACTCTCCAAATGCCTTGAGCATAGCCACCAGCCTCTTCTTATTTAGACCAGCAGGTAGTTCATTCTATTGATTGACACAAAAGGGTAACACTCTATGAAGTGAGACACTTTAGTCTACTTTGTCTAGTCAGGGGGAGGGAATGCTTTGTGTGTATTTATGGTGGAACATCTCTATAGTAAATAAACTTCACATCAATCTATAAAAAAAAAATATATATAACTCACTATATAAAAAAAAACCCCCAGTGTGTTAAGACATTGTGTGTGTTGCTCCCACCTCTTTATCTTCAGCTGTAGACCCAGCAGGGGGTCTAAGTATCTTCACATGTGTACGCCTACCCGAGCTCTTGGCTGGTCTCTGAACGACCTCTGACCTGACCTGGACCTTTAGGTTAGACAAGTCCTGATCAGCTCCACCGCCAGAGACTACTGCCACCCGGGAGGGAGGAGGCTGGGTGAGGGGCACAGACAAACACACACACACACAATATGAATACATATAAATTATTAATATCAAAAAACAAGAAAGCTCTTGAACCTCGTACATCTTTGTACTGTTATCGTAACGGTCTGTCACCTTGTTTAGTTCCTGTGTGAGACTCTGAACACTGTAGACATTTATGCTTCCATTATCCATGATGGCCACAACATGTCTGCCGTTAGGGCTGACCGTCACTGTGGTGATGGCGTCTTCGTGGGAACCCATGTGGAAAAGCAGCTTGCAAGTGTGAATGTTGATGAAGCGCATAACGCCGTCCTGACTCAATACACCTATTGTCTGCAGAGACAAATAAATAGTCTCAAACTCAGAGGGGTACACAAGCAGAAAAGTTAACATGTTAAACATGTGCATACAGAGATACAGCAGCCGACTATAGGCTCATTAACATGCAGAGATAAGCAGACGGGGCGGGGCCTCTTCCAGGCAAGTGATGAACAAGATGTCTAAAATTGAAACAAACAAGATCCCATTGCAGGAGCACAGAGGTGAGAGAGAAGTCTGTAGTCTGTGTACCTGACTGGCTCCTCCGTCAAAACTGTCGGGCAGGAATTCAAGCTGTCGGACGGTTCGGACCTGCGTGGGCATCTGAATCACCCTAATCAGCTGTTTGCTGTCCAGACACCACAGGTGCAGCAGGTTGGAGCGCCCCCCAGCAGCAAGGCTCTTACCATCACTGCCAACACAAGTGTGGTATCAGCATTCGATGAAGCCTTCTGATCCACATTTTACTTTTATTGTGCTTATGAAGTGTTTAGAGGTCAAGAAGGGTGGGAAATATAGTCACGAAGAACTACGCTGGAAAGCTACATAATCGATCAGCTAGTTAGCAGTGGTGATGCAGGAGACCCACCGTGTAACAGCAAAGGCCTTGTAGGAGATTTTGGGTCCGCAGTCGGGGACCGGGAGCTGGTATTTGCAGAACAGCGTGTCGCTCTCCCAAGCAAAGATGGAGTCATCGCTGAAACAGCTGAGAATGGTGTTACTGAGAGGCAGGAAGAACACCTGCAAAACAAACAACAGCGTAGAATGACCATGACAACGAAACAAATTTAAGGCACATCATTAATGTACCAGATATATCCTGAAGTATCAATAGCTTGAAATGAACCAAAAACCTAAATCCCTATCTGACAGAAAATATAACACTTTGTCTGTCCTCAGAAAAATGATCTGGTCATGATGTGACCAAACATCAATTTGTAAATGTTGCTCTTTTTTTTGCACGTTTACCCTCTGAATGCCAACAGACTGCCGGATGTTGAGCTTCCTCTTCCTCTGGAAGGTGTCCAGGTCCCAGAGCTGAGCTGTGTCCAGGGACGTGGTGATGGCGTAGCGACCTGAGCTGTGGACAGAGATGGACGAAATGGCCCCCTCGTGACCCCGCATCCAGCTGACCAGCTGCTTTGTGTCTGAAAGAAACAACCCAACAATACCAAGTGTCATTGAAAATGAACTTGTTTGGAAAAAGTCCCGAGAGTTTAAAAACAGACTACATCTCTGAAAATCACGACTTAAAAAAATGATGCAATGTATGGATGTGGCCACACTACCTTTGTCAAAGCACTTGATGGTGTAGTCAGCCAGAGCCACAAGGAACTCGGTGGTCCTGCGAAGGCTGAACGCCAGCGCGGTGCAGGCCTGGCCTGTCTTCTGCACCAGACGAAATCTGCCCCAAGAAAGAAACAGTGAAAAACACAAGATCACAGAAATGTGAAAGCACTATCTGCTCTATATAGAAAGAGAGATACATGTATTGTTTTAACATGATCATGTCCTTGTAGGTTTAAAAAAAAAAATTGAGTAGAAAATAGAAGTGTGCAAGTATATCTATCATTTTTTTCAGGTGGGAGAAGAGCAGTGTCAACCCTTTTTGGGACTTTTGAGCACAGTCAGTCACCTGTTTCTACTGATGTCAAATACATAGATGTTGCCATGCTGGTCTCCAGCCAGGAATGAGTCTCCCGTGGTGTCAAAGGCCACATGGAGGAAACGCACCGTCTTGGCCTGCTGAGCAGTGCGGACCACCGTCACGAGCACACTGAGGGAGACAACGTCACACATTAAAAAAAGGTTTAACGCACACTCAGACAGGTCTCACGTGAAGAGCGACACATTTCAGTGAGTCGCGGCTGCCCTCTAGTGGTTAGAATACACTCTGAAAAAGTGTCTGAACGACAACAAATGTTAAGAAACAACGTTACAGTTTATGAGATGATAAGTAGAGTGATGCCATTCAAGTGTTTACAGTTCAGACTCGTGAGAATGTACCAATGCAACAAGTGTGACTGAACTTAAATGCAGTCAAAGCAGCTATCTACCTTTCAGTGTTATTCCAGGCTGAGAAATTTCTGTTACAAATACATTTTACTATAAAACATTAATCCAGATAATCGTGTCACTCCCTGCAGCATCAGGTGGTCATGACATCAACCTACCTCTTGCCTGGTGCTGGTTTTCGGTGCCAGACTTTCCCCTCTTCTTTGTTTCTGATGTCCGTCACCTCCATCTTAAAGACGTCTTTAGAAACACGTTCATAAAACAGAAGGATACCCGTACCTTACCCTCCGTACTTCACTTAATGTAACTTAATGCCCCAGCAACAATGATAGCTAACGGGCTAAGATTAGTCGGCTAATCTCTTTAAAGGCGGAGCAAACAGCGCGAAATTTGAAAGCGCCTCATTCAGTAGCGTGATATTTAGTTTTAAGTTACGCTCAGCACCGTTTAACTTTAGTCTCGACTCAACAGTCCGGTCCACTAGACGCGTAGCACACTTTACGCTAGCAGTTTTCTTCCACTTCAGTTTCAGTGGATTTTTTGCTTGTTTTAAGGACGGTTATTTTGTCGCCCAAAATTGACGTAAAGGTAAACAGAGGAGTGCATGTTGGGAGTTGTAGTTCAAAACTGTTTTGACTAAAATACTAAATTATGATACAAGACCTACAGATAATAATGTTGTAAACTGTAAGTGACACTCAGTGAATTGTAAAAAAAAAAAAAACATCTTCTTTGATTTGAAAAAACGACACCCTCTGTTTTAAGTTTGCTTGTATTTCCCTCAATGAATGTCTAAATACAGGTGTCCCTGAAGACAGAGCGTCGTCAGAAGGTGCGCTTGAAAACATAAATAGTAATGAAGACTCAGTTGGTACACTGACTTGGACTAAAGCAGTCAGTTAGCGACGTGTGTCTGTTAAAGAACGGATCTGAAAGGATCCTGTTTTTTTAACTAAACATAAGCAGCATGATTTCAGAATTACTGATCAGTATCATTCACTTCATTCACTGAGCGCCTGAGTTGTAAGAGATGTTAATTAAACAATTGAACAATGTATATTTGTGTAAATGGTTACATAAAATAAGAAATGAGTGGAAGACAATTCTAACTTCTTCATTTCTTTGTTATTGCGTCTTTGCTTCTGTTGTCGGACCATCAGGTTTTCCTTTTTCTTCTGCCAGTTAGGAAAAAAATAAAACACCTGAGATGATTTCCTTCATATTTGTTATTTAAAATGAAAAGTAATCAAATTATCTAAGGATATATATGCTAGCTTTAATTCACCCATGCCTCTTTATTCTGTCTTGCACCCCATTGCTTCAAAAAGGCAAGTCAAATAAAGTAAATCAATCGATTTGTGCACCACTAAGTCCCGTTTCCTATCTATTCTGATCATTAAGGTACTACTCTATGGCAACAACAGGAAACGCCTCTTTCTGTTGCTGGCTGCCCGTTGATTGGTCAAGTGGGATTTTTGCATATTACTCAGGAAGTACTAACGATGCAGAACAAAACCAAGTAAATTGGTGTGAGATAATAAAAATACATCCGGTACTTACATTTTTCCTTCAAACTAAGAGCATGATATAAACCAGTCATCAAAATGAATATAAAATTATGTAAATAACTAGATAAATAAATACATTTACAAACCTACAACTTGTAGAAATAACTAAAAAGTATATATATGCTTTCATTGGTGTCGCCTGTCTTATTATCACCTGTGTAATAATATTTGATAAGAATGGGGTAAAACAACAATTCTGCAACAATTGCTGCTTAAATGAAAGTACATTTTACTTGAACAGAAACATATTTTTCTAAAATCAATCAGCCATATTTTCAGCAACATTACAGTCCTACACAAAACTAGTGAACTCTTTTATTGTTTTCGATACAAATGTTATTTATTTCCGTAGAATATCACTTCTATGTTAATTTGCAATATGTCCTTTTGTTGTTGCTGTCAGATTAGTGGTAGTTGTATTAGTAGTAGGAGCACGTTTGATTTTACTTTGAAAAGGTGAACCGGATGTGTCTGCTCTGATCTCAGTAACTCTATATGCTAGCTGCCTGTGATTAGCCACGTCATGTAAAGTTAGCAGTGGAGCACTTCTGATAAAAAAGCAGCGAGTGTTCGCAGTGTGTTGGTGATATTAGCTCATTCTTAAAGAGCAGCTTTTGTTTCATGGTTATAACTCGGTGTGATCATATGGAAAGATGTCAGACATTGGGGACTGGTTCAGAAGCATCCCTCTCATCACCCGGTCCTGGTTTGCTGCTTCGATTGCAGTTCCCTTCATTGGAAAACTAGGACTGATTGATTTCAGGAACCTCATGCTATTTCCAGAGCTGGTCATAAGCAAATTTCATGTAAGTGTACCTTGTGTCTTGGGGTAGCTGTTAAATGCGGTGGTCGGTGTGTTTTGGATGTGGTCGGTTGGCTAGCTAGTGGCTAACGAGGCTAACTGATAAGCAGGCCTGTGTTGTGTGACAGCCAATCAGAGGGCGAGACGCAGAAGGTTAGAACTTCCGGGTGCTGTCATAATGCTACTTAATTTAGCAACCCCGAGCTAAAGTGTAAATATATCACCAGTTTAAGTATTTTAATAACCAGAGATGGTAACATAGCCGAGGTGTTGAATTATCTGTATTTTTTGGGATATAAGAACGTTAGTTTAAGGTGCTGTTGCTGTATAAACCACAAGGTGGAGAAAGTATTTTGGATTTATTGTAAAGGGACTTTCCTGCTATGAAATGAGCTATTCTCGCAGCGTTTCTACGGGTTCACAGATTGTCCGTTTATACAACGTTAGGGGGCGGCACGGATCCTCGGGCCAAATTAGCCTCCTAAAAATAATATTTGCTAGAGTAAAGTTTTGGCCTACTTTATTTATTCTAGAGGGAATGAGTGCTGGTTACTTAGAAGAATCACATTTTATTATTATCTATATTGTCCGTTTATACAAAATGCTGCATTGCTAGATTAAACTATCTAGTGTTGGTTACAATTAGCTCCAACTTCAGTAAAATGTTACTTTCACATTAACACACAACAATAACTCATTTAATATAACTTGTATAAAAGGTTAAACTCGCATGCTCCACCTGCAAGCATAATGGCAGCATTACCGCTTATTTCTATTGATATATTTTGAATATGTTTTTCTGTTATTTATAAGTAAGATTTTTCCAAATTCAAATGCTATAAATCGGAAGTCATGGACAATGTCAGTAAATAATAATAAATACTCAATTAACAATTGATATTTTTGGTTCAACATTATTGTAATTAATGCTGAATCTTAAAAAAAAATATTGAATTGAATAAGGCGGAGTCACGATTTGTTCCACCTCTGTTGCATGTTGAAATTGTATCCTATCAGTTTCCCCTTGATTAAAAGCAATTTAACACAAGAAATGCTCATCCGCCCTTAAGCCGCCTAGTGAATGCTGCATGGATCTGATGTCTGTTACCACCACACAAAACCTTTGAAACAACTTGTGTGCCAACATATTCTGCAAAGAATCACCAGCTGCCTGGTGCCACTTTTTCAGTGCTTAGAAGTTAATATTTACAATCCACATGAGACTCATATGTGTTACAAGCACATCTTGTCTGGATCCTGTCTGGATCTTTGCACCAACACAGCTGTGTTGATGTGTTTCTATTAGACTAATTTCTCTTCTGTTTGTTGCAGCTCTGGAGACCAGTGACAGCCACCTTGTATTTCCCTATAACCCCTAATACTGGGTTTCTGTACCTGGTCAACCTCTATTTCCTCTACCACTACTCCAGTCGGTTAGAGACAGGTGAGACTATTGGCCTCTACTTGCATGCAGTGACACACACGATGCACCTTTAATCATGCTAATCCTATTCTTGGTATTGTTCTCCAGGGGCGTTTGATGGCAGACCTGCAGACTACATATTCATGCTCTTCTTCAACTGGATCTGCATTGTTGTATCCTTTTGTCTTGCATTAGAACATGTGAAACCCTTTAAAACCTTTTGTTTAAATGATGAATTGCATTTTACCTTCAATATTTAAGGTTACATCCCTGCTAGTCTGTTTTTCACTCCACCATTGATTCTATCTCTGCTGCCTTCTTTGCCCCTCTGCGTTTCTCTCTCTCTCTCTCTCATCTGTCTGTTCTGCACCCCCCCTTCTTTCTTTTTCTAACCCTCTGTCTCTCTGCAGCACTGTGCCATGTCAGGGTGGCTCTGTGCCAGTGGCCCTGTGTCAGTCTACCCCTGCAGAGCAGAGAAACCTAATCTAGGTTACATGCAGCACATAGATCTCTACACTCTTTTCTGGAGTTCAGCTTTGACTGTCAGCTTCTCACTGACATCTTTTGTTTATGAGACACATTTGGGCAAAGTGCTGTTCTCCTTAAACCTGATCCAAACCAGGTGTTTAGTTTTTGTTACTACAGGAAAATTGTGGGAATGGGTGAACAGAAAGTCAGGTGTGGGAGGTTAGGCTTACTCAAAGGGAAGAGGCAGGTGACAGTCGGGCAGTGTGGGGATTTGACTGGCAACCCTCCCTTCACCAGCTGCTCTAATCTCAAGGCTCCAGCTGTGATTGTTTTGAGCCACGGGGTTGTTGTCCTTGACTCTGGCTACAGATAACCGGGATGCTGATGAACATGCGGGTAAGAATCCTCCTCTCATTCTGTATTTATACCACAACACATCATGATGACTAGGGCTGGGGTTTAAAAAATGATTATTCTCATTCAAACCGATCTTCATTTGATTGATTCATAAAATTCCAAGATCTACCATTCATCGCATACCTTTTCCTGTGGATGCAAGAAGCTTCAACCTGGTTTTCTCCCATAATCGGGACCTTGTAATTATGAGAGCTGGTGGACGTTCTTATGAAAACATCCACATCTGATTTCCAATCATTAAAACTAATCTTCCTCATCAGCAATAAACTTAAAGTTTGAGAAGAAGGCAGCGGGTACCAGCCAATCAGTGGCGGAGTCGGGCGTGTGGTAGCAGAATGTGAATGGGGGGGAAAATATTAAACTACTGTAAATAACAGGCGGAGCAAATGCAAACAGTGGATGAGAGGGCACTTCAATATTTCCAAAAAAACTCTCTTGCACACTTAATGCTAGTGTGCCATCGGCTAGGTAACCCACCCCTGCTGTATTATGGAGATATAGTTTGCAATTATCACTTGAGATCTTTGGAGTGTTTCATAATGCAACATCAGCACTTTAACTCGGCTTACATAAAGAAAAAGATTGACACTTTGGGAAATGCGTTTCACCTTTAAATGTCACAAAACGAAGACTGGCTGAAATCAATTTCATTATTTTTCAAAGATAAAAAGATGTATGTCAAAGTCGTGCTGCATCGCACATTCATATGCTGTTTGTGTTGTTTATCAGCTGCTGATGATCCCACTGATCATGTCGGTGCTCTACGTCTGGGCTCAGTTCAACAAAGACATGGTCGTGTCCTTCTGGTTCGGAACACGGTTCAAGGTACCACTCGTTACATCACACGTTCTACGCTGTTATCCTTTTAAAGGTATCTCACGTGTCACAGTGATATCAGAGCACATCAAATAGCATGTTTTCAATGTTTAGGACTAACGTGTGATATTTATTCCACATTATCTTCACTACCTGAACATGAGGCTAATTCCAATGTTCATATTAATATTCTCTATTATTCTGTCCTAGGCACATTATCTACCTTGGGTCATTCTGGTTTTCAACTTCATCATCGGAGGCTCGTGAGTAACTACTTTTAATTGGTTGAATCAAAGACTGTGTTTAATAGTTTCATCTCAAACACACTGCACTATGAAAGTAAATTCAAAGTCTTTAAATTAATTAAGAATGATCTTTTGTTGGGAATAGTTAAGCTGCCCCGTATAGCACATAACCAGCTCATTAATGTTATTCCTGTGAGGTTTGATTCTTCTTCTCTTCGCTGTTATTGTGCAGGTTTGTGAATGAACTAACGGGGAACCTGGTGGGTCATCTCTACTTCTTCCTCATGTTCAAATATCCCATGGACCTGGGAGGACGCGCCTTCCTCTCAACGCCAGAGTTCTTGTAAGTTCCTTTTATTTACCAAATTGGTTTTATATGAAGTTTAGGCCTTTATTTTTATTTTGTTACAACAATTTACCCAACAACTTCATTGTTGAGGCTGTGCAATACAAAGCTTCAAGGAAACAAGACTATGCAACTTTTGAATGAAGAAATAACCCATATATAAAAAGTAGCATTCAGTTGAATTCATAAGGAATATAATGCAACCGTACTTATTCCAACACACTCTCGATTTTTGCCACTACAGCCTTACTTGTTCTGGTATGACCAGAAGCTTATGCTGGCTAATGTCTACAAAAACGAAAAAAATAGATTTCAATGTCTTACTGAGTCAGTTTGCCGACTCTTTGATTTTTCTCTAATAGCACTTGTGTAACATCGTTTGTTGACGGGGTTTAAACATGTCTGGAGCTCGTCTGTATTCCCATAACCTCTTGTTTGGAAGACAAACACAAAAACATTTTTATTACCCAAACTGTGTTAAATGTTCATTAGATCTTGCGGAGCTTCTTTTTGGTTCATCTTGAACCATCTGTGTGCTTCAAGAAAGAAACGAACAGAGATTTGCAATCATTTTTGGTTTCGCTTCCAAACAAGTATTTTAAATATTTTTGAGTAGAACTTGGTTCGAGTGGAGGAAATGCGTTTAGTCCCCCACGCACAGTGACTCATACCGAGAGCATCGAGTCAGACCAATCGCAGCAGATGACCTATGAAAAACACACTGCCCCAGGAGACCGACTAATGAACCAAGACAACAGCTCGCCCAGACATTAAATCATTTATTTGTATGACTGTTTGTGTTTTTTAATTTATGACTTATTTGTTGTTTGAAAGCTGTGGGTACCTTCCATGACATTTTTGTCAGATCTCAGGATGAAACAGAATTTTTTTTTTTTCTTCTTTTAATTATAAAAGAAAAATACAACTTTTCTTTTCAATAAATAGGAATTGTTGCTCGATCAGCTGTTTGCAAAATAGTGTTAAATTGCTTGATTTCAAATGTTCCAATGACATCCGTGTTAAAGACCACATTTGAATGCCTCCCCTCTCCTCCTCTCTCCAGGTATCGGTTCTTCCCCAACAGGAGGGGAGGAGTGTCGGGCTTTGGAGTCCCCCCCAGCAGACCAGCTGCCCAGGAGCAGGGAGGAGGAGGTGGGGGAGAAGGAGGGGGAGGGGGAAGAGGAAGAGGACGTCACAACTGGGGCGAAGGCTTCCGCCTGGGGGGTGAATAAGCGGGGAGACGAGAGAGAGAGAGAGAGCTACCCCCCCCACCCCTCTTTTGCTCCCAATAACAAATGGTGTTGTTTCAGGTTAAAGTGCTTGCTTCCTCTCTTTTCTTTTGTCTGAGGGCAACCCTCGACTTAACATTGAATTCACAACTATGTTTTAAAGGCTCAAAGGAGATGAAATCTGAGGAAGCACGCATTTTAACCAAGAAAGCAGCGCACAGCAGGACTCTGACCATAGGCTCAATTAACTATTACTACTACTGCGGGTGTGTCCATGTGAAGCAGATAGAAGGAAATATGAATAAATATTTTTTTTTTTTTTTTAATGTGATGATTCTTGCGCTCTCCTCCCCTTCTTCCTTATTTTCACCCCGCTCCACCTTTTTCTCTACACCCTTCCATTGGACTGTCGAGACCAGAGATGTTGCAGCTGCACACTAGCTTGCTGTTAATTCTGACTGGTGTTCCTGTCCTGTTCCCTCTCTCTCCGTGATGCCATATCAGATTACATTGTAATTACCAACGCACTGGGAGTGTGCTCTCAGCTGAACATGGGCAAAGCTATTTAGAGAGCACCGTTTCCAGGTCTGATTTTACATGGGTGTAAAATGTTTTTAAGCCTTTGTGGCACAGACCTGATCTTCTGTCTTAAGCTCTGATCTTGACCGAAATAAGGTGAAGATGGGATTTTTGCTCTTTTTGTAAATATAACGATTGTTTATTGAAAGGATGAGCGAGTCTGAGTAATTATGGTACTATCCATGTCTCAATCTTCTTCTCCAGAGTCAGGAGAGTTCAGCCAATGATGTGCCAGTGTGGCTGGTTGACAGACTATACAAGTATGAACAATATACAATTAGGGCTGACACCAACTATTATTTTCCATGTCAATTAACTGCCAATTATTTTTTTGTCATGAATCACTTGTTTTATAAATGTCAGAAAATGGTGACAATGCTTTTGTTTGGTCCAACAGTACAAAACCTCAAGACATAAATTGAACGGTCTAAACTGTCAAGTTCAACCAAACCCAGATATATAGTTGTAAAAAGTTAAAGTGACCTGATGTCTAGAGGAGGTGATTCGTGTCACTGGCTCAATACTTTACTTTCACTGTTTTTTATCTGTTAAACTCAAAATGCACAAAAGTAACTTTGTACTCAATACAAGCGATCAGCCACCCTGTCCAAACCAAGCTTTGATGCACAGAGTATACACTGGAAGACCAAGGCGGTATTACAGCTGGTTGTGTATTTATTGAGTTACAGCAGACTTAAAGTAGAAAATGAACAAATGCAAGCGGTTCTCCATTCTAGCCAACCAAATGTACAGTATCCCAGATACTAGTCTGAACATGAAACTAAAGCAGCAACAGCCACACAGCCGCCGTTCAAACCAGGGTTAAATGGCTTTTTCTTTTTGCTGCACAAATATTGCAAGCGCTTTCAATTCGACCCATGAATCACACATATCCCTTTTAAATCATTTCTAAAAGTGAGTTAAAAAATAAATTGAAGTGCATGCAAGAAGTTCATGACAACTTTGGCTGTTGTGATGAGATTGATAATTTCTCTCTCTGGAGATTGATGAACCACCATTTCAGGTGCTCTAAAGCGGCTGTACAGAAATCAACTAAACCCAGCTTTGAACAGGACCTTCCTAAAGACGAGAGATAAGCCAAGGGGCGTGTTCACGGGAGCTTCAGTTATTTCATTATGCGTGAAACACCTTCTCCAAGATGTTCTTAGCAGGTTCAGTCGAGAATATTTAAAGTTCTTCAAACGTAATAAGAGAGCAGAAAAGGCAGCATGGTGCGATCGGACCCTCTTCTCTACGCGATCAATCATTTCTATATCATGTTGCGTGTCACTCCTAGCTGTCCCTCGAGCACTTCTGAGTGATTTCCACCGTTGTCAGCGTAATTCTATGAGCGTGAATCAAGGTGACGCTGCAGGAGAAAAGGAAAAGTTGCAGCATGTACATATCTATCACTACCACAGGGATATACACAAGTGATATCGAAGACTACTCATGAGTAGTGCACAGGTATGGTTTTCAAAAAATAGGACTAATTTTCAGCGAACAACACTAGAATACAATTTGATCTTAAAACAATTAAAAAAAACAAAAAAAAAAAACATTCCAGGTTTTGGGGCACCAGTCATGACTTTTTGTTTTTTCTTTTTTCTTGTTCTTCAATGTAACAAAACATGCCCTTTCAGTAAAACTGTACACACTTTGATTTTGTTATACAGAAAAATATTTACAAGGGTGCTTGTTTAATAAAAAGAAAAAGATTAGTAGTAAGAACAATGCATCAAGTCCAGCTTTGGCACTCCTCTTAATGTCAGCGTCTGCACCACAGTTCAGTCAGTGGAACTACAAAGTCCCCGGCGCTTTGTGATGACATCACAGACAGTTACATTACTGGTTCCACATTCGGTCATCTTGAGTCGGTGCATGGTCGGTCTGTGACTTAGCAGTCAATGATTTACTCGACCTGGAACAGAATCAGACAAACACGGTGTGAAACGAAGACATGGGGCAATTTAAACAAGTGATTGCTATGGTCACACAAATTCAGAAGTACTAAACAAAACTTTATTGGGTATAAAAAGGTGCAAATTATTATAAAAAGTACTAGAAATATAACACCATTTGCACTGCCTGTGAGAATAACACTGTCTACATAGATGATGCTAATGATGGTGTGGGTCCAAATATCATCCGGTCATCCCAGCATGCCATCTTTTTTGGAGGGCCAATCAGAGGTAATTGCCCTCTAATAGCTTCCTGGGTAGCTGGAGACTGCAGCTGTGGCATCTTAAAGGAACAGCTCACCATTTATTTATCTTTTTATTCAAGCCAAGTTACACAAACTCAAAAAAATATATATGCACAGATCAATATGTTTAACAATAATGGGTCAAATGTGTTGCTCCAGTGTAATATTCATTTGTGATGCTTTCCCGAGTTTCTTAACACTCCCCATACAAACCACATACTAGTGTTCTTTAGAAGGATATTTCAACCTACTATCAACCAGTGACCCGTCCAGGTTGCTCCAAGGAGAGAACTTCACCGTCTGTAGCCAGCCTTTGTCTTTCCACTCCTGCTTCACCCTCCTCTCCCACTGCCACAGTCACCTGTACCCACCTGGCAATGAACCAGACGCAAAGTTTAAACACAAACGGACTCCTTCTAGGAACTAAAAAACAAAAATCAAAGAAATGTTTTCCTGTGCGCATTGAACGATCTGTGGAAAAAAATGCCATGAACCATACGCACGATGTCTAGTTGATGAAACGGGTAAGAAATGCAAAGAACGGAGTAATTCAGCATCCACAACTTGTGATGCCCATACGGTGCTGTATTTTTAGACTTATCACAAAATAAATCTTAAAATAACTCCTCAGATATTCCTTTAGAATTGGCAGTGAGCTGATCTTTTTTTGTCTGTATAACATCTCACGCTAGAGAATAAATATAGGATGAAAGATCCGTTTCCCTCTCTCCACCCACCTCCCTTTGTCAGCAGTGCTGGAGCTGGTTTGGTCCGGTCTGGTCCGGCTCAGGTCCGTCACACTGTGGGTTAATCTGCCAGTCAACCACTGGACTTTGTCTTGGTCAGACAGCTTGGATTGCTCTGGAGCTGCTGCTGTGTTCTCACCAGCCTCCACTGCACCAGAGAAGAGACAACACAAAGTCAAACAAGGGTATAAAACATAAGGGAATACAAAATGTCTACTTCAAGTTCTCTTCCAAAACTCACCTTTCACAGCCTTGACTTCCAAGGAAACACTCTGTGTTTTCTCAGAACTCTGGCCGTTCTGTTCCTGGCCCGCTCTCTGCTGCTCTACAAGGTTTTGTTTTTGGAAACTTTCCATCCAGTCCAGAGTTTCCCCTTTCTTCAGTGCCGAGCGGTGGTCCTTGAACCAGCGGACAATGTCGGTGCGTCCGATGCTTGTTTGGACCTCCAGCTGGCTGTACTCCTCAGGAGACGGCCACCGGGTCTGACAGAACATCTGTCGAGACAAATCGTGTGACCAAACACAAAACAAGTACTGTTGCCGTTCAAGACATCTCATGGATATATGTTCGATACTGCAGTTTTCTAGACAACTTCACTTTAGTTCGTCAGATCTTATCTCACTTTTAATAATAAAGTATCAGCAAATGTCATCATGTAGTGTCAATCACACAGCTTTCAGTACCTTCTCAAGATTAATATACACATCAACTCACTTCATATTGTATTTAAAAATGTGCCTTCTCATCAATTAATCTCTTTAAAGTCACAACTTTTTACCATTAGCAGCTCATCTCGTCCTAACTTGTGCCATACTCTTAATATATTGTCATCTGATCAGCGTCGACATGTTTTCGTCAGCTTTTCTTACCTCTCTGAGCAGGCCGAGGGAGCTGCTGGCGATGGGAGCCGGGCTGGTGGAGGCCGACAGGATGGGAGGATGGGGAGAAGAGGAGGAGGATGAAGTGAGGATGGGAGGGGATGCAGAGGAGGAGAGGGTCGGCGGGTGAGGGGATGCAGAGGAGGAGAGGGTCGGCGGGTGAGGGGAGGAGGCTGCGAGCACAGGAGGGGAGGAGGATGATGAGGAGGAAGAGGAAAGGACAGGTGGATGAGGAGAGGAGCGCAAAGGTTTCCCGCCCTGCTCTCGATGTGAAGTCCCGTTCAGCAGCGCTCCGGGCCAGTCTGCTCGGTCCTCTGTGTTCTTTGAAGACATGGCGAGTAAAGCCTTCTCCATGTTGTCCCTCAGCGCCCGGCGCTCAGAAAACCAGCAGTCCACCTCAGTCTTAGACAGCCTGGTCTCCTGGGCCAGCTGGTCTGCAGCAGGACAGAGTTCAGTGGATCAGATGAGTGGAAGGCTTTTTTTGGGATACCTGGGAATTCAGTCTCTCCGAGGGACTTAAAAATTAGCTCATTAAAAACACTTATGCTATTCCTGTCTGCAGGAACCCACCAGAGACTGGCCTGCAGCTCCTTTGGGGTGAAAGGAATTAAGTCACGTGTTGTGAACTAGTATAAAGAGTGAGGGCATTTGACCAACTGACTTGCACCCAATTTTATCTCCCTCAGTCAGTAAGTTTCAGTCTGTAAAAGTTCGGAAATAACTTTCTCAGGAACTTCCCGTCAACAGATCATAAAAACAGTTATGACTGGCCAGCCGATTTTGTAATTCACCATCTACCAGCCTGCAGGACAGCAGTCTTGTGTTTCTGTAGGCAGATATAATGTGTACAATGTGCTCAAGTCGAGCATCTGAATTGAGGACTTGACAACCAGGAAATGAGTGAGTAAAATAACATTTACAGAAAAGCATTCAGTACAGGGTAGTGGTTTGTGCCACATTTAGTAATTCTGTAACTGAAAAGGACGTTTTAAAAAAAGGGGGACGTTAATGCTTTCCCCCCCCTCTTCCATCTTTCTTGACACACTTCATGCGATTAAATCAATCTGCTTGTGAGAGGGTTGGCAGAAGGCTTTACCTAGCCCCGCCTCTGTCAGAGTGCCACTTCTCTGAAAACTCTCCTCCAGTGCCTTCAGCTGTTCTGACGACTTCCCCTTCACCCTCTCCAGCAGCGGAAACTGGTTGGGGACCGCTTTCTTTATGAGGGCGTCTTTAAGTGCTGGTGTCACCTCTGCTTTCACCAGCACTGGAGGTGGAGGAATACCTTCAAGAGAGACACACAGAGAGACTTAAAGACCAAAACATGGTGAGGTTTGCATTGTGTTTTGAGGACAACACAGGTAATTGATATTACTAAATGACACACCACAAAT